AAAATCAAATTTGCTAAAATAATTATATCCTTGTATTTGTCTTATCTTTAGTATTTTATTTGGTATCGGATAATTATATGTTTTAGTTTTTGCATTTAAATTTCTATAATCAATAACCATTCTACTTTTTCCTCTTTTTTGTTCACTATGTTTATTTACGATAAATGCCGGGCTTGTATGCTTACTATTGTTTTCTTGTATATATCCTTTTTCTAGTAATTCATCTATATGTATCTTAAATTCGGTTAAATCATTAAAATTATACTTTAATGGTTTTTGGGTTATTATACTGTTATTATCAATTAGCTCAATTTTTACTTTTGTTTTATGTTTTTTCCATCCTTGTAAAGGATCCTCACTATATAATAATTCTAACTTATCTTGAATTATTTTTTACTTTATCTATAGAGAATATAATTAATTCTATTTTAGGGTCTTCTTCTTTTATATTTTCTAATTTTTGTGTAATATTTTCACTTCCTTTTATCCATTCTGTTGTTTTTCGTTTTTTATTATTTACTCTTTTTGCTCCTATTTTTTGTTTACACGGTGTTGTGAACCACCAGTGTGTTTTTGTTATTATATGTGGGTATAATTTTTCTAAAAATGACATTCCTAATAGCATATCTTTTGTAGTTAATTCAAAGTTATATATTTCTTCTATAGTTAATATCTTATCCATATTTGTACTTTTATATTTTTTGCCTTATATGTGATCATGCTTCCTTCATTATTAAATCCCGTTACTACTATCGGTGTTTTTAATTTTTCTCATTTATCTTTTGGTAAACAATTGTATTTACATATATTAGCTTCTGCTCCCGTATCTATCATTGTTGTATAATATCGGTTGTAATATCCTTCTATTATTATCTTTGCAAGTATATATATTTTCATATTTTTATTTTCATATTTTTATCATACCAAAGTCCTTTTTATTATTATTCTTTTATTTTCATAATTTATTATTAACTGTTTGTCTTCTAGATTATATGGTTTTACTTGTTCCATCCATTTTATTCCTAAAATGATATTTTGTCACGACCCAAAAATGGACGTGATGGCACTCGTCTTATCCCACCAAGACAAGTCAGCCTAACACTCACCCATTACAATAAAATGCAGAAATTTCATAATTAACTTAAAAATACCCCCAAAATCTGGTTGTCACGTGCACAAGCCTCTAAAGTATTACAATTGAATCAAAAGGAAAATACAAGTCTCATATGACATTGTTTCTAGAGTAGAACAAGATCATAAATAGGAGTAAGAAGGATCGTTGAGAAGACAAACAACTACATCACAAATCTTCCAGAAGCCTCAGAAAAGAAGAGAATAACAAGTACCACAAAAATCCAGGCTCGTAACCTACAAAAATTTGTAGAAGCAAGGGGTGAGTACCAAACCACACGGTACTCAGCAAGTAAACCTCTAAACACGAGCTAAGGGGATAGAATACAAGTACTCCTTACACCCCAACCGAACCTTTACAACTACAATCTGTATAAAACCAGCCCAACCTAACAGTTCACAATTTACAAAGCACATAGCTCAACACAACACTCTAACAATTGCATATCTTCAACAACGAGCTCAATATTCATCAGTCACAAGTTCCATAGAAAGGCACTCACAAGATCAGCAACACACAAGATCAAGTTCACCAATAATAAAGAAGTGCAATGCAATGAAATGCAATATCAAGTATAGTGATGCATGCCTGACCTAATGATACACACCCGTTGTCTCTCAGTCCGGGACCCATGGGGGACATATCTGTCCATGCATTCATCGCGGCGCGCGATACGACCCTCGATAATAGTAACCATCGCGGCGCGCGATACGTCCCTCGAAATATAGTATCCGTCGCAGCGCGCGACACGTTCCTCGAAATATAGTATCCATCGCGGCGCGCGATACGTCCCTCGAAATATAGTATCCATCGCGGCGCGCGATACGTCCCTCGAAATGGTACATCCTCTTTATTTTCTTATTCTTTCTCAATGCACATAACACTTGTCACAACCATGTCTCAGAACAATGCAAATGACATGTTCACACAAATAATGAAGAGATGACCATTTTCATAACATTGCACAATTCACAACAACACAATCAGGATACAACATCAACAATGATTCAACAAGTCTTTCAAACAATTCTTAACACATCACACAAACAATTGATCACATTGCCTTATATTATCCCTTTCTCATCATTAGAATTAATCAATGTGGACAAGTCAACCCATCACCAAGCCTCATTAACCTAAACACATATTAGAAGGAAATACATGAATTCATACACTTAACAAGGGTTTAGAAATCCACTTACCTCAATCAATCAAGAATTCACTCCAGGACGTGAGCCTTCCCTTTTCGTTGAGCTTCCAAATCAATGCAATCTATTCAAGTACATAGTCACAATAAGATTTCAAAACTAACAACACTCATATTACTATGTGTTTAGCTTTGACCCAAAAATTCACCCAAGTTTATAATCAAGTTCCTAAATCTTGATGTCACTTAACCTTTCAATTATCATATTTTCCAAGTTTCAAGCCTAGGGTTAAGTTCTAATCTCTCCAAATAATACAACCCTAACAGTTTTCATATAATATAATATACCAATATCTAATTACATATCTAAATGTATCAAAACTTAAATTATAATGTGATAATAATACGAGAATAGGCCAATTGTGAACCATTCGTGAGAAAAAAAAAAGAACATACACGAAATTAACATTCTTAACCGATCGGTAGGAAATCATATGCAAAACTTGTTATCTTTTTTATAAGATCCAATTACCCCATTGTATATATGTTATCCCAAAAGAAGTCACGTTCCAGCAACATGAACTTTCAAATTTGAGTTCTTTTCCTTTTACCAATCCAATCTCATGCTATTATCATTAGTCAGTCATTGGCAATCATTACTTTCCAAGATTCTTAGGCGTAATTTCCAATTGCAGCATTCCAGTAACTTATATGCCAATTTCAATTCCTAACTATCCAATGCATGCACTAATTACAAGATTTAGGCTTTGTCATCTCGTTTACCTGGAAAAGTTGCGTTTTTTATTCTTGTGATGTTGCGCCTCTCTTCGTGTTTCCAGTTGGAAGTTGCGGTGGATCGTGGTATGCCAAACAGAGATTTTAACCCCCAATTAATCTTAATTCAATACATGGCCAAGCGATATAGGGTATTAATTATGGACTTAGCCCATTAACCACCAACTAATAAATAAATTATTTAATAATACCTAGCATCTAATTAATCGTAGTTATCGAATAGTTCAAATTTTTCAAATCAACTTCCCCGACTAATCAAAAATGACGCGGGGTAACTATCGAAAGGGGGTAAAATGGTAATTTTACTAAATATCCAAAAATGACCTTCTGGGTCATTACATATTTTCATTTCCTTGATATATTTTGAATTTTAGTACTATTGGTACTCCTCCGAAGATTATTTCCTTTTCCGTAGTTTCTTCGGTATACATTAATGCTTTTGGTAGTTCGGAGCATGATTGTTCAATAGTTATTATTTCATCTTCCGTCACTAATTCTCTTGTAATATAGTTTTCTTCTCGTCCTGTATTTATTAATATTAAATATTTTCGTTGTTCCATTATTCCCGTTATGTAGTAATGATGTGGTTTTATATCTTCTTCTATTGATTTTTGTGGGGTTTTATCTATTCTCCTTGAGGTACTCATTTTTGATGATATTTCGGGTATCTCATTGTTTATCCTTTTCGATGTGCTTAGTCTTTCTTTTACTATTTCTAAATCTTCTTCTATATCAATTTCATTATAACTATAATCGTTTTTATCTATGACTGTAACTATTCTTTCAAAGGGATCTTCTATTTTTATTTTATCTATTTTATTTTTTGCTGTTATTTTATGTTTTGTTGTTAGAACATATAAGTTTTTACATCTAGCTGTAAATATTTTACTTCCTGGGGCTAGTTCTATCCCTGACATTCGCCAGTATAATACTAGTGATTTATCTATATTTCTGTCAATATATTGCTTACTGAGTAGTTAGCACTTATTATAAATTTAAATTTTTGGTATATGAGGTTACCTCTTACTGCACTTATTATACTTTTTTCTATGAGTTGTATAATTCTATCATCCGCTAAGTATATTTCTATGGATGTATCTATTCATTCTCTAAAACATGCTTTTATTAATATTTCTGTTCCTCCTAAGTGTACATATTTAATTGGATTTTTAAGTTTAATATCTTGTATTTCTTTATTTATTATTCGTTTATTTATTATTGGTATTTTGGCCTTTCCTTTAGTGTATTTGCAATCTATGATATGTTCTCTATGACTTACTACATAATATTCTTCTTTTTGTCGTTTAAACCAGTTTCTTACTGTTGCTATTTCGAATATTTTTGCTATGCTTAGGTCTAATTCTTTTCCTTTTATTTGTTCAAATATACTATTATCAAATATTATTTTCTGTTCTAAATATTCTTCGTCTTGATGTTTTTCTTTATTTATTGTTTGTATATCTGCTTCAGTCATTTGTTATATTATAGAATTCATTTTCTATTTCTATGTCATTATCTATTTCATTTTCCGATAATTCATATATACTATCATTGCTTTCTAATTCATAATCTACGTATTCTATTTGTGTATATTTTTCATCATCTATTATTATTTCTAATATTTGTTTTTTCTTTGGATTTTTAGGTAATTTACAATCTCTAGCTATATGTCCTAATTTTCCACAATTATAACAAGTACATTCCGTAGTTTTCTTTTTGGTCTATATGGTCTTTTGGTTTTGTAATTTTTTATTATATTTCTTTTTATTTTTATAATACCTATCCGTACAACCAAATTGAGGTGCTGTCTTATTTTTGCAACATGCCAAGTTTTTTACTAATATTTTTTCCATTTTTATTTCTTCTTTATGATTTTCACATAGTTCCATAAACCATCGTCGTAAGAATTTTATTCTAGCTCCTAAGGTATCTGTTAATTCTTCTTCATTCCAACTTTTTATTACTTTTGAATTAAAAGGTTCTGGTAATTTTGTAAAATATAATTTTCTTATTTCTTTACTTTCTTCTATGCTATATGTTCCTTTATAATAATATTCTCTAAATGCACATGTATATTCATCTATGTAACACATATTATATATTGCTAATTTTGTCATTAGATTCCGATTTATGATTTTTTCTTTATTTTGTTCTTCTACTTCTGTTGTCATACTACTAAATTTATTTCTTATATCTATTTCATATTTATATAATATTTCCATGGTTGTAGTGGCTGTTCCACCATCAAATTTTTTATTATTTTTTAAAGTTGTTAAGCTTTCATTTGTTAAATTTTGTAGCCATAATTTTACTGTTCCTATAAGTGTCCTTTCTATGTATCCTGGTGTCACAACCCAAAAATGGACGTGATGGCACTCGTCTTAACCCACCAAGACAAGTCAGCCTAAAACTCAATCATTACAATAAAATGCGGAAATTTTTTTATAATAAACTCAAACACACCCCCAAAATCTGGTTGTCACTTGTACAAGCCTCTAAAGTATTACAATTGAATCAAAAGAAAAATACAAATCTCATATGACATTGTTTCTAGAGTAGAACAAGATCATAAATAGGAGTAAGAAGGATCGTTGAGAAGACAAACAACTACCTCACAAATCTCCCAGAAGCCTCAGAAAAGAAGAGAATAACAAGTACCACAAAAATTTGTAGAAGCAAGGGGTGAGTACCAAACCACATGGTACTCAGCAAGTAAACCTCTAAACACGAGCTAAGGGAATAGAATACAAGTACTACTTACATCCCAACCGAACCTTCACAACTACAATCTGTATAAAACCAGCCCAACCTAACAGTTCACAATTTACAAAGCACATGGCTCAACACAACACTCTAACAATTTCATATCCTCAACAACAACAATAGTTTCATATCCTCAACAACAACACTCTAACAATTGCATATCTTCAACAACAAGTTCAATATTCATCAGTCACAAGTTCAATAAAAAGGCACTCACAAGATCAGCAACACACAAGATCAAGTTCACCAATAATAAAGAAGTGCAATGCAATGAAATACAATGTCAAGTATAGTGATGCATGTCTGGCCTAATGATACACACCCGCTGTCTCTCAGTCCGGGACCCATGGGGGACATATCTGTCCATGCATCCATCGCGGCGCGCGATACGACCCTCGATAATAATAACCATCGCGGAGCGCGATACGTCCCTCGAAATATAGTATCCGTCGCGGCGTGTGACACGTCCCTCGAAATATAGTATTCATCGCGGCGCGCGATACGTCCCTCGAAATGGTACATCCTCTTTATTTTCTTATTCTTTCTCAAAGCACATAACACTTGTCACAACCATGTCTCAGAACAATGCAAATGACTGTTCACACAAATAATCAGGAGATGACCATTTTCATAACATTGCACAATTCACAACAACACAATCAGGATACAACATCAACATGATTCAACAAGCCTTTCAAACAATTCTCAACACATCACACAAACAATTGATCACATTGCCTTTTATTATCCCTTTTTCATCATTAAAATTAATCAATGTGGACAAGTCAACCCATCACCAAGCCTCATTACCCTAAACACATATTACAAGGAAATACATGAATTCCATACACTTAACAAGGGTTTAGAAATCCACTTGCCTTAATTAATTGAACAATCACTTCGGGTCTCGAGTCTTCCCATCTCGTTGAACTTCCAACTCAAAGCAATCTATTCAAATAAGTAACCGCGATAAGATTCTAAATTCTAACAACACTCATATTACTATGCGTTTAGCCTTGACCCAAAAATTCACCCAAGTTTATAATAAAGTTTCTAAATCTTGATTCCAACCAATAGGTCAAATCTCATATTTCTTGAATTTCAAGTCTAGGGTTAAATCATAATTTCTCTAAACACTACAACCATAATAGTTTTCATATAATATAATACACTCAATATTTAATAATAATAATGATAAATAAATAATTAAAATAGAACCCAACGTCAAGTTACTATATCAGTAACTTAAGTCTAAGAAACTCAATTTGCAGATTGTGAATTCAATGTCAAAATACATGTAATTATTAAATCATTAGTAAGTATAGGATCATCCAATCATTATCTAATGATTACATCCATATGGCGTGAAGGTATTTGTTTCTCCAAGTAAAAAAATACATTAGAATAGGTATATCCATTCCCACTTGCAATTCAATTATACTTACTTTTCACTTACGACCCCACTTTAATTCACAATAACAATGATATGTTCTTACCCATATATACAAATACAAAAATTCAGGCAATGATGATGATTACATTACCTGAACAGAAGATCGCTTAATGTTCTCTTCGTCTCCTTCGGTTACAGATTTTAGCCGCAACTGATTTGTGCCCTTTCGTGCTCGACTAAAAATATAATATTAATTATCTTTAACTCTGATTTATTTAATTTTTTTACATGGGCTAAGTGGTATAGGATATTACTTATATTCTGGACTTGGCCCATTAATCACCCACTAATAAAACTTAATTATTTAATAAATACCATCAACTAAATAATCGAAATTATCGAATAGTATAAAATTCTCAAACCAACTTCACCAACAAGTCAAAAATAACTCGAGACAACTATCGAGAGGGGTAAAATGATAATTTTGTGAAAATTTTCAAAAATGACCTTCCGGGTCATTACACCTGGTGCCTCTGCTATTACTATCTTGTTATCTATTAATTGTTTTGATATGTATCCTACCCTTAATTGGATTGTTTTATTTATGTCTGCTACATAGTCAAAATCTAAAAATTCATGTTGTCCAGTTATTGGTTTAGGCGTCCATTTTTTATTTAATCTTTTATACCATGTAGTTTTTTCCTTATCATATTGTTCATAATTTTCATTATAATATTTTGGATTAAAATTTTTTGGGCTTTTTACCCCTGATGTGCTAGGTTTTTCGTACATGTCTACGTCTTCTGTATTTACTTCTAAATTCTTTGTATTATCTATGTTTGCTAAAAGTTTCGTATATGTTTCGCTTATTTCCGAATGTTGTTCTAGATCATCATCGTTTATTTCATCAACTCTTATTTTGGGTAGATTATCTTAGTTATTTTCTTCTTTTTCTCCTAATTCATCTTGTAATTGCAATTTTTCTTTAAATTTAATTATCTCGTTTGCTAATTTTTTTTTTGTTCTTTTTCTTTTTGTTTAATTTCATACATTTCTTTTAATATTGCTAGCTCTTTTTGTAGCTCTATTATTTTAGTATTTTTTACTTCTTCTAATTACTGTACTTCCTTTTTTGCTCGTTGTTTTATTTTTTCAATTTCCGTTCTTCTATCTATTTCTTCATTTTCTTTTGTTATTCTTACCATAGCAGTTAAACTATCTTCTAGTTTTACCGTTTCTTTTTCTAACATTAAACTTATATTGTCACCTATTTTCTTATATCTTCTTCCTAGATTAGAAAATATTATCTTTATTTTTAATCCGTCATAATTTCCATATGTTTTTTCATCTATTGCGTATTCTTCTTTATTCATTTATAAATTATGTTGTAGTTTATATTTTAAGTTATTTATTTGTATTTTTAGATATAAAATAGTCTTTCTTTGTGTTACTATAGATTTGTGACAAATTCCTGCGAATATACTAAGTTTTTGTCTATATTCATTATTTTTGTTATTCATTGTATTTTTAAATATTAAATATATTTATATTCTATTTTAGATATAATATTTATTAATTGATCTAATTTTTCATTATCAGTCTTTGTGATATTAAGTTGTTTATATTTCGGATATAATTTATTTAATTTTCTTCTTATTTTTCTTAATTTTCTACTCGTATGTTTCTTACCGTGTTTTTCTTATTATCCATAGCTCTGATACCATTTTTTTGTGCGGAACTCGTAGTTGGGGGATTCATGAAAGTGGTAGTGTGGTAGGTGAGTATTTTATTTTAAAGATTTTATTGTAGTGTTCAATAAATAAAGAAAAACATCAAGACGAAGAATATTTAGAACAGAAAATAATATTTGATAATAGTATATTTGAACAAATAAAAGAAAAAGAATTAGACCTAAGCGTAGCAAAAATATTAGAAATACCAACAGTAAGAAACTGGTTTAAACGACAAAAAGAAGAATATTATGTAGTAAGTCAAAGAGAACATATCATAGATTGCAAATACACTAAAGGAAAGGCCAAAATACCAATAATAAATAAACGAATAATAAATAAAGAAATACAAGATATTAAACTTAAAAATCCAATTAAATATGTACACTTAGGAGGAACAGAAATATTAATAAAAGCATGTTTTAGAGAATGAATAGATACATCCATAGAAATATACTTAGCGGATGATAGAATTATACAACTCATAGAAAAAAGTATAATAAGTGCAGTAAGAGGTAACCTCATATACCAAAAATTTAAATTTATAATAAGTGCTAACTACTCAGTAAGCAATATATTGACAGAAATATAGATAAATCACTAGTATTATACTGGCGAATGTCAGGGATAGAACTAGCCCCAGGAAGTAAAATATTTACAGCTAGATGTAAAAACTTATATGTTCTAACAACAAAACATAAAATAACAGCAAAAAATAAAATAGATAAAATAAAAATAGAAGATCCCTTTGAAAGAATAGTTACAGTCATAGATAAAAACGATTATAGTTATAATGAAATTGATATAGAAGAAGATTTAGAAATAGTAAAAGAAAGACTAAGCACATCGAAAAGGATAAACAATGAGATACCCCAAATATCATCAAAAATGAGTACCTCAAGGAGAATAGATAAAACTCCACAAAAATCAATAGAAGAAGATATAAAACCACATCATTACTACATAACGGGAATAATGGAACAACGAAAATATTTAATATTAATAGATACAGGACGAGAAGAAAACTATATTACAAGAGAATTAGTGACGGAAGATGAAATAATAACTATTGAACAATCATGCTCCGAACTACCAAAAGCATTAATGTATACCAAAGAAACTACGGAAAAG